GGGGTGGCTGTAAATGTCCTGCTGCACTCCAGTCTGGATGACAGACTCCAACTCAAAAAAAAAGTTTAATCTCAAATAATTTAGCTAGAAGTAAAAATGATGTTTTCTGGAAGACTAGGTTAGAGGACTCAAAAGTGCCTCTAACAATGGCAAAGACACTACCTCCAAAATTCTCAGGCAGAGTTTAAACAAAACACCTCACAATATGGGATGTAGAGATGAAAGCAATAATTCTAAGTTAATATTTTATGAATGAGATTTTAAAAATGCACCTGCAGCTAAATTAATTAAAAAAATTTTTTTTTTGAGTTGGAGTCTCATTCTGTCGCCCAGACTGGAATGTAGTGGCCGCTCCCGGCCACCGCAGCTTCGACCTGCTGGGCTCCGGCGATCCTTCCACCTCAGCCTTCCGAGTAGGTGGAACTATAGGCGTGTACTACCACGCCCGGCTCATTTTGATTTATGGTTTATTGTAGAGATGAGGTCTTGCCAAGTTGCCCAGGTGGGTCTTGAACCCGCGGGCTCAGGCAGTCCACTCACCTCAGCCTCCCAAAGGCACGGGATTACAGGCCGAGCCCCTAACCCAGCTTAATAAATCTTATAAGGAACCATTAAATGATTCCATTTGTGTCTTCCAGTATTTTCTATATTTAGTTTACATATGTATACACAAACACATGTGTACAAGCTGTCTTTGCATCTTTCTGTTGAAGAGGGGGCTGCTGTTTGATGGGCGGTCAACTGTCCAGGCCTATCTTCTGAGCACCCACTCTGCCAGGCCAGGCTGGGGCTCAGGGTGTCTCTGCTCTCCCAGAGCTCTTAGTCCAGTGGGGGTGACAGAGAGGAAGCGAGTTGCTATGGGAACGAGGTCGCTCTGCCCTGGGCCCAGCACTCGGGCAGGAGGGCTGAGCCTGGTGTGGGGGTGAGAGGGCTCCTCCTGGAAGGCACATTTGCGCTGAGACCCAAGGGGTGCTGTTACAGTTGAACTGGGAGCCCCCCAAAAGGCCTAATTCTCAGCATCTCCAAACGTGACCTCACTTGGAGACAGGGTCCTTAGAGAGGTAATCAAGTGAGACCAGGAGGGTGGACTCGAATCCCATCGGCTGGTGTCCTTGCCAAGGGGGACACTTGGACACAAAGGCACGTATGCACAGGGAGAATGCCACTTGAGGAGTTAGGCATCGACAGTCTGGGGGATGCCAGAGGCTGCCAGCAAACCCCTAGATGCTAGGAGAGAGCCTGCACCACATTCTCCCTTGCAGCTCTCGGGAGGAGCCACCAGTTGACACCTTGTTCACTGACCTCTGGCCTCCAGAACGGTGAGGCGACACATTTCTGTTGTTTAAGGCACTCAGTGTGTGGCACTTTGTGACAGCAGCCCTGGTGAATTAGCGGGTGGGCAGGAGTGAGCCCAGGATGGGGGTTCCAGGCAGAGGGAGCAGCAGGGAATTGTGGAGAGGATAGCAGGGTTCACCAGGGCCCGGCCCTCTGGCCATGCTGGAAAGCGGGAGCCTTGTAGTATGTACTTATTGGGGTTGTGGTGAGGATCAAACTCGTAGACTCACTGACTGAGCACCTCCCTGTGTACCAGGGAGGTCACAGTGGCATCTGCTTTCCTGTGGGGGAAATGGACGGGGGAACGGAGTACAGCGACACGGAATGATGACAGCAGGGGCACCTGAGGCTGTCTGCAGCGGTGGCATTAGACCAAGCCCTGGGAGAGCCAGCCTTGAGATCTGGAGGAAGGGCATCCCACACAAAGGCAAGAGCCAGTCCTGAGGCCCTGCAGTGGGACTGAATGTGGTGAATTTGAGGAGCCAGCCAGAGGCCTGCATGGCTGTAGCAGAGAGAGCGAGGGAGCGAGGACAGAGGGCGGGGGCAGCCCATGCAGGGTCTGGGCAGAGAACATGGTACCTGGTACAAAGTATGTGCTCAGCATGCACGAGCCTTCGTCATTAATCCTGGGGGTGCAGGGGACACCACCGGAAGCTTTAAGCAGGGGTGCGAATGCCCAGTCTAGTTTTCAGAAGACCCTCTGGCTATCAGGGAGACATGAACTAGGTTCTCAGAGTGAGTTCAGCATGCTTGCTGGCCAACACCTCCAGGGATGCTGCTTCTGTCTCCTCATACCCACCTCCCTCCAAGCTCTGTGTCATCCTATTTCGGTCACTAAAGAAGACGTTACAGGTCAGGTTCGGTGGCTTGGTCTGTAATCCTAGCACTTTGGGAGGCCAAGGCGAGGGGATTGCCTGAGCCCGCGGGTTCGAGACCAATCCTGGCAACTTGGCGAGACCTTGTCTCTACAATAAATCAAAAATTAGCCGGGCATGGTGGCGCGTGCCTATAGTTCCAGCTAGTTGGAAGGCTGAGGCGGGAAGATCACTGGAACCCAGCAGGTTGACGCTAGGGTAGCCATGAGCTGCATTCCAGTCTGGGTGACGGAGTGAGACTCCAACTCCACAAAAGAACAGGATGGCGTGGGGCAGAGTCCCTCACCCAAGAGAACGCAAGCCTTGAACTAGGCTTTCTGGGGTCTAATCCAGGCTTTACCCCTTACCAGCTGTGTGATCCTGGGCCTCAGTTGCCTCATCTGTAAAAGGGAGAGAAGAGTTCTACCTCATGGAGCTGTTATGAGGTTTCAGCGAATTAATTCACAAGAAAGAACTTAGAATGGGGCCTAGTATATGGTGAGCGCCCCCCAAATGTTAGATATCGTATCTTCCAGTTAAAACATAAAACCCTTTTCTTAACTGCATACCCCTCTCCTATCTCTTTCCCTTATTTTTATTTTATTTTATTTTTAGAGACGAGGTCTCACTCTGTCACCCAGATTTGAGTGCAAGTGGCACAATCATAGCTCTCAGTAGCCTCAACCTCCTGGGCTCAGGTGATCCTCCCACCTCAGCCCCCTGAGTAGCTGGGATCACAGGCATGTGCCACCATGCCTGGCTAACTTTTTAATTTTTCTGTACAGATGGGTCTCTCTATGTTGCCCAGGCTGGTCTTCAACTCCTGGCCTCAAGTGACCCTCCCGCCTCAGCCTCCCAAAGTGCTGGGATTACAGGCGTGAGCCACTGCACCTGTCTTTCTGACTTTAAAGCAAAATGCCTCAAACAAGCTGCTCGCACAGCTAACTTAATCTGGCCTTATTCTTCTCTCCTGAACTCTTGAGAGACCCTGAGGAGGCTCAACTTTTTTTTTTTTTTTTTGAGTTGGAGTCATCGCAGCCTTGACCTGCTGGGCTTCGGCGATCCTTCCACCTCAGCCTTCCAAGTAGCGGGAATTACAGGCATGTGCTACCACGCCCGGCTAATTTTTTTTAGTTACTGTAGAGATGAGGTCTCGCCAAGTTGCCCAGGCGGGTCTTGAACCCATGAGCTCAGGCAATCCACTCACCTCGGGCTCCCAAAGTGCAGGATTACAGGTTGAGCCACCGAGCCCGGCTTGAGGAGGCTCAGTCTTACTTTCAATGCTCAGTTCTCCGGCTCCTCTGCACTGGCTTCCGGTGGCCCATCTCCCTGGGTTCCAGGCCCCCATCCGGGCCCCCACCTAGGCCTGGGCCCGCCTGGACTCGCCTGGACCCGCCTGGACTCACCTGGGCCCTGCCTCCTCACCATACCGCCTCCTTCCCGGGCTCCCCTTCACAGTCACTCAACAGAGGGGTCTCAGGCTCTGGTCACAACCTTGCCTCCTCTTTATCCACACTCCCAACCCGGGGCAGTGGGACTCTTCCAGCCTCAGGGCTTTAGGCAGACAAATCCCCAAGGTCTCTCTCCAGCCTGACCTCTCCTCAGAACTCGACTCCCTCCTTCACGCTCTGCCTGGATGTTTCCTGCGCACCTCAGTCATGAGTACCCAGGATTGAGCTCCTGTGTTTACCAGGCTGCTCCTCTTTCAGGCCCTGGCTGGGCTCAAGGCAAACCCATCCTCAGGCTGCAAGACCCCGCGTCATCTGCAACCTCTCGCTCTCTCACACTGTATCCCACCTGCCAGCAAGCCCTGTCTACTCTGTTTCAGATTATTTATCCGGAACCCACCCCCTTCTCACCCTCTCCGCCCCCCTCCCTGTTCCCGCCCCCTCGTCCCTGCCTGGACCATGACAGCAGCTCCTCTCTGCTCCTGCAGGCTGTTCCCCGCACGCAGCCACCGCGACCCGGTGAACACCCAATTTAGATCATGCTCCTCCTCCTCTAGTCCATACCCTCCTGTGGCTCCATCTCACTTAGAGCAGACATCACAGCCCTTCCAGGAGGCCCACAAGACCCTTCACTTTTTTGTCCCCGTCGCCTCTCTGACCTCATCTCCCAGGACACTCCCTCTGCTCACATTGTTCCGGCCACCTGGTCTTAAGTCCACAGGTCAACCGTGCTCTTGCTCTAGGACCTTTGCAGTTGGCACTTCCTCTGCCTGGAATGTTCTTCATGCAGATACCCACAGTATTAGCCACCGTCTGACCTACTGTGTGCCTTTCCTGATCACTCTGTTTACTGGACATCACCCAAGCGGAATGCCAGCTCTCTGAGGGCAGTGTTCTTGCCTGTGTCACTCACAGCTATATCCTCAGTGTATAGACTAGCTCGGAGTCACCTTTTTTTTTTTTTTTTGAGTCGGAGTCTCACTCTGTCGCCCAGACTGGAGTGCAGTGGCCGCTCCCGCCACCGCAGCCTCGACCTGCTGGGCTCCGGCGATCCTTCCGCCTCAGCCTTCCTAGTAGCCGGAATTACAGGCATGCGCTACCAGGCCCGGCTGATTTTTTGATTTATTGTAGAGATGAGGTCTCGCTGCCCAGGCGGGTCTCGAACCCGTGGGCTCAGGCAGTCCACTCACCTCAGCCTCCCAAAGGCGCGGGATCACAGGCTGAGCCACCGAGCCCGGCCGGAGTCACCTTTTCAATGAGAGTGAGGCATCATCTCTTTCTCTCTGCAAGTCACTGTTAGTAAGCCCCAGGGACACCCTGGCTTGGCTCTGGCGGGTGCCTTACTGGGTGTCTAGGCACTTACTTCTTTGGGTCAGTGAAAGGGAGCGGCCGTGGTGGGGGCTCCTCCGTTCTCTTCCATCCTGTTGGGTGCTTATTGCGCACAGGCTGCTTGGAGAAGAAGGACTTGGGGACGGAGGCGGAGAGCTGGAAGGGGCTGGGCTGGGCCAGCTGGGAGGGCCGCGTAGTCTCTGCGCTGGCAGTTTTGTAAACCTGAGCAGGGTAGCCAGCCCTTGAGCTCATGTCACTGCAAAGCAAAAATGAAACAGACAGAAAATCAAATCATCCCACATTTGGCAAAATGTAGCTATTGAAATTTACTCTTGGGAATCAGAAAAGTTCATTTGCACAAGGGAGACACAAATATATTACTGCTGTGGAAAATTCCAACACAGAAGTCTATCTGGAGGAAAGGAAGAGTTGCCGGCACAGCGCCCAAGCCCACCCATGGAACAGCCTTCTAGCACAGTGGTTCCTCCATGGGAATCTGAAAAGTCGCCCCTGATCTCTGAGGTACAATCTTTGTAGCTACTGGTGGAGGTCCCACCTGCTGGCCCGTCTCTAGAGATAACCAGAGTTTACAGTTTGCTCTGTTTCATTCTTAGCCTTTTTCTATGTGTTATAAACATACATGTGTATACAATCAGAGAAGAGAGACTTTTTGGAGGAGAGAGTGGGTGGGAAGATTATGCTTTTATGTAACTGGGATCATACTAATATATTGTTCTGTAACTTGTGACTTTTTAAAATTTAAAATATATCATTCCATGTCTATTCATTCAATTATTTTCTGAGCACCTACTAAATGTCAGATACCATTCTGGATGATCTAATCTAAAACCAGATACCGAACTTATTGAATATATTACAAATACTGGACTGTTGTTGAACTAGTGTTACAACGAACCAATTGCTATCAACTAGATCCAGCTCTTGGGGACACAACTGCTTACCCCACTGCAGCGAATCAACGTTTAAAAAATTTTAATGAAATTCCAGCTGGGTGCGGTGGCTCACACCTGTAATCCCAGTACTTTAGTGAGGCGGAGGCAAGAGGACTGCCTGAGCCCAAGGGTTTGAGACCAGCCTGGGCAACATGGCAAGACCTCATCTCTATAATAAATCAAGAAAAATTAGCCAGGTGTGGTGGTATGCTCCTGCCATTCCAGCTACTTGGAAGGCTGAGGCAAAAGGATCACCTGAGCCTAGCAGGTTGAGGCTGTAGTGGCTGGGAGCATTGCCACTCCAGCCTGGCTGACAAAGTGAGACTCCGACTCCAAAAAAAAAAATAATAATAATAAAAAAAGAAATTCTAACTCCATTTTGAGCAAGAGATATTCAATGAGAAAATCAATGCCCTTGGAATATAAGCTAATAAATTCATTTTGAACGTCAATTTAGCAATATTAAATATAACGTGTTTGTTTACAACCTTCCATTTGACTATGGCCAAATGAGAAGAATGGCAAATACTCTCCCCAGAGAAGACAAATTGGACAAAAAAAATAACCATTTCAGTACTCTGAAAATTGACCAGAGACATAAAACAATCTGAGAAGCATTTGTGCTTGAAAAATTGCTGAACTTTGGAGCAAGAGCAGAGAGAATCTGTGGCATTTTGGCCTGGGTCTCTCCTTTCCCCACCTCAGTGAATAAGAAAGTTCTTCCAGAGAAGAACCTTTGAGACAGTATCAAGGGTACTGATATATGGGCAAAGAGAACTTTGAAAGCAGTGGAGAAAGGGGCAGAAGAAATATTTGAAGAAATAATGGCTAAAAACTTCCCAAATTTGCCAGGTGTGGTAGCTCATGCCTGTAATCCTAACACTTTGGAAGGTGGAAGCGAGAGGATTGCCTGAGCCTAAGGGTTCAAGACCAGCCTGGGCAACCTGGCAAGACTTCATCTCTAAAATAAATTTTAAAAACTAGCCAGGCGTGGTGGTGGTATGCACCTGCGGTTCCAGCTACTTGGAAGACTGAGGTGGAAGAATTGGCTGAGCCCAAGGTGGTGGCCATGAGAGTGCCACTGCACTCCAGGCTGGGTGACAGAGTGAGACTTCTACTCAAAAAAAGAAAAAAAAAAAAAAAAGAAAAAGAAAATTTTTCAAATTTAATTAAAAACATTAATCTAGCCGGGCTCAGTGGCTCAGCCTGCAATCCCGCGCCTTTGGGAGGCTGAGGTGAGTGGATTGTCTGAGTTCACAGATTCGAGACTCGCACAGGCAACTTGGCGAGACCTCATCTCTACAATAAATCAAAAAATTAGCCAGGCGTGGTAGCACATGCCTGTAATTCCGGCTACTTGGAAGGCTGAGGCAGAAGGATCGCCGGAGCCCAGCAGGTCGAGGCTGTGGTGGCCGGGAGCGGCCACTGCACTCCAGTCTGGGCGACAGAGTGAGACTCCAACTCAAAAAAAAACCCCACAAAACAACAACAACAACAACAAAAACATTAATCTACATATCTAAGAAGTATGACAAACCATAAGTAGGAAGAATATAAAGAATCACACTTAGAAAAAAAGAACTGAAAGTCAAATAAATGCTAAAATAAAAATCTTGAAAGCATAAAGAGAAAGAGGATTCATCACATACAGAAAACCATCAATATACTGAACTATAGACTTCTCATTCCAAACAACAGAATAGAATGTCATTTCAAAATGCTGAAAGACACCGGGCTCGGTGGCTCAGCCTGTAATCCCACGCCTTTGGGAGGCTGAGGTGAGTGGATTGCCTGAGCCCGTGGGTTTGAGACCCGCCTGGGCAACTTGGAGAGACCTCATCTCTATAATAAATCAAAAATGAGCCGGGTGTGGTAGGGCGCGCCTGTAGTTCCAGCTACTTGGAAGGCTGAGGTGGGAGGACCACTGGAGCCCAGCAGGTGGAGGCTGCATGGCCGGGAGCGGCCACTGCCCTCCAATCTGGGTGACAGAGTGAGACTCCAACTCAAAAAAAAAAAATGCTGAAAGACAAAAAACTGTTAACCATAAATTCTATATCCAGCAAAACTACTCTTAAAAAAAAATGAAGGCACCATAAGGATGCTCCTAAAGACTAGATTTGTTGCTGAGAATCTGCCTAATACAAAATAATAAAGTCTTCAGGCTAAAAAAAAGGACTCCAGATGGTGAGCTGACTCAGTAGGTAGAAATAAATAGTCCATGATAGTAAATTTGTGGTTAAAAAAAGATCATTCTATAGACTTATGCTTTCTTATTTCTTCTCTTTCTTAAAGACAGAAGCTTATACAATAGTATAATATTAATATTCTATCATTGGGTTTATAACACATATGGATATAATACATATGACAAAAACAGCACAAAGACGGGGAAGAGAATGGGGCTATACGTTTCTCTATTTTATTGAAATTAAGTTAGTAGTAAGCCGGGCTCGGTGGCTCAGCCTGTAATCCCACGCCTTTGGGAGGCTGAGGTGAGTGGACTGCCTGAGCCTGAGGGTTCGAGACCCACCTGGGCAGGCGAGACCTCATCTCTACAATAAAATCAAAAAATTAGCCAGGAGTGGTAGCGCGCGCCTAAAAAAAAAAAAGAAAAAAGTCAGGCTTTAAATGTATATATGTATTTTAAATAAATATATATGTAGAATGAAGATTTTTTTTTTTTTGAGTTGGAGTCTCACTCTGTCGCCCAGACTGGAGTGCAGTGGCACACTTCTGGTCACCGCAGCCTCGACCTGCTGGGCTCCAGCGATCCTTCTGCCTCAGCCTTCCGTGTAGCCAGAATTACAGGCACGCGCTACCATGCCCAGCTAATTTTTGATATATATTGTAGAGATGAGGTCTCGCCAAGTTGCACCAATGGGTCTCGAACCCGCGGGCTCAGGCAATCCACTCACCTCGGCCTCCCAAAGTGCTGGGATTACAGGCTGAGCCATCGAGCCCGATCATTTCTTTTTAACAGAAAGAAAATGTACATTTTTCTAATTGTAAATCATGAAATCAGTTTAGTAGGTCTTGTCCATTATTAAGGGGAAAAAATAAGTAGTCTAGAAAAAAAAAGTTAGTGTACATCATGCAAGGTAAGGGTTAAGTGGTTTTGTAAAACTCAATCCCAGATGTCCATGCTAGACTGTAATATAAAATGCGTCTCCTATTTTGGGTAATGGTCATATTTCAAACAACTGGGTTGATACAAGCCTGGAGAAAAATCTCTGGAGTAAATTTACACTAGCTGATTATCTCTGGAGATAGTAATGATGAGAAATAGGTACAGAATAAAAATCTAATTAAGCTGGGCACAGTGGCATGTGCCTGTAATCTTAGCTACTTGGAAGGCCAAGGCAGGAAGACTGCCTGAGCCCAGGAGGTTGAATCCAGACTGGGTAACATATTGAGACTCATTTCTTCAAAAAACAAAAATTTATTTATTTATTTTTTATTTTATTTTATTTTTTTGAGTTGGAGTCTCACTCTGTCGCCCAGACTGGAGTTGCAGTGACCACTTCTGGCCACCGCAGCCTCGACCTGCTGGGCTCCGGCGATCCTTCTGCCTCAGCCTTCCGAGTAGCTGGAATTACAGGCACATGCTACCATGCCTGGCTGATTTTTTTATTTATTGTAGAGATGAGGTCTTGCCCAGGTGGGTCTCGAACCCGCAGGCTCAGGCAAACAAAAATTTTAAAAAGTCAAATTAAGCCACATAAATGGCACAAGGCAAAAAGGATGTGGCTACCTGATGTCTCAGTTTCCTTCCCAGAGTCAATCATGGTCCACCCTGTCTTCTGCAACAGAATATCTATGCAGACACAAGCACACTTGTGTGAGAGAGAGTGTATCTTACTGTTTCTTTTTAAAACAAGTGGCAGTGGCAGACTGGGCTCCGTGGGTCGGCCTGTAATCCTAGCACTTTGGAAGGCTGAGGTGAGTGGATTGCCTGAGCCCACAGGATCGAGACCAGCCAGGACAACTTGGCGAGACCTTGTGTCTGCAATAAATAAATAATAAGGCCGGGCTTGGCGGCTCAGCCTGTAATCCCAGCACTTTGGGAGGCTGAGGTGAGTGGATTCAAGACCCTAAGCCTGTGGGTTCAAGACCCACCCTGGCAACTTGGCGAGACCATGTCTCTACAATAAATCAAAAAATAGCTGGGCATGGTAGCGCATGTCTGTAGTTCTGGCTACTTGTAAGGCTGAGGTGGAAGGATCGCTGGAGCCCAGCAGGTCGAGGCTACAGTGGCCGGGAGCGTGCCACTGCACTTCAGTCTGGGCGACAGAGTGAGACTCCA